AAATCTTGAAACAAAGACACAACTGTTTATTTAAAGAAGCTTTATTAGTAATTTACAAATAGTTCGTGAGACATACGTAGAGAACAAACGAGTAACAAAGGTGAGTAAACCTTATGACGAATCTTGAACGCCCACCGTCTTGCAGACCTTACAACCATTAACAAACGTTCGGGGTACATTTGTTTCCTCAAAAAGTTTGCAACGTCCGGAAGAAAGTTTCAGAGGCTGCACAAAACATATATATTCTTGATCAGTAACAAATTATGAATCAATTTAGATATATACGCCCGTCTATCTATCCGTCTACCCCTGTAGATGCATGTTGTGAACAATCTTCCTACCGCGAAAACGAACGTATTAGGTTCAATTGTGGCAAAAATCATGAAAGTTCTTGCAGTCAGACTCAAGATCTTTGTTTTCCATATATATAATACCACAATTTTTCTGTGAGTGGTCCTACAGTACCTGCACAAAAGTCCATGCATTATTTATGGGGTATCAAAATTTCATTATTTTTTTTTTTTTTTAGTTTTTACGTAACATTTAATAGTTTTCGTTAATTGTGGGCCAATTATTAAAAATTTCTCCTAATTTGAAAATTAATACATTTTTTCAGCTACCGTAAAGGTGCTTAGCATCGTGCACTTTGCCAAATGTTACTCTTCGTGGACTTACGCAAACTAGGCTGAATATAACCATTCAACCTCTCTGACGAAAGCTTCCAGATTTGTCGTCTTTTTCAATTCAAATTTTTTTCTGTTTTAAGATTTTTTTTAATTCTTTTAATAACCTGTACTCTTTTCTCAAAATTTGAAAATAAATTAATATATGAACAACGAATTAATATAGAAAGTAGCTTTTTCTTAAGACATTAGAGAAATATTGCGCATTTCTAAAGAACGTCTGTTATGATATTTAGAAAACCATATTCCAGCAGCGTTTATATGAACAAAGGATTAACTTATACAGATTTGTTAACAATTTGATTTTTTACCTTATGACGCTATATCCCCATAACCTAATATGTAGAGATTGATCTTTCTTTGCCCGCTTGCTCAAATAAAGCAAATCACGGATGGAAAACCTTTTTCATTTTTCAAATGAGTAACTTTTACTAACAGTAATAAAAAGAATAGAAAATATTTAACTAAATAAATATTTCTGAAAACTATTACATTTTTTCTATATACCAAATAAACACAGTTACATACTTTGTAAAAACCCTACTGTGCTACTGACGTGAACAATATTGTGCGTGTTAAGTGCTCTTATATTTCGGAACGGATAGTGCACATAGAAACACCTGCTTCTGTCTGCACGCACACAATCATAACCTAACGCAACAAGATTCTTGAAGAAATATTCCCTAAGCGATACATACAGAAAAGAAAATTGTGTAAAACAAATGTTCTCATAAAACTTATAAAAATGTCCATAACAGTGCAAGGGAAACACAGAGAGAGATAAAGCAGAAATGAAAAGCAGAAAGCAGCAACAGAACCATCAAAAGTACACTTCAATTGATTTATTAAATATATGTACGACCCGCATAGGGGTCAACTCTCTGCAATATTCATATCCATTCTCACACACAATTCTAGTAAAGTCAGCAATGGATTGAAAAAGTAACTGCAACAGCAATAATCGAATTTATATATATGTACAGGCAAAAACAGTAATAGCTTATGATATACGTTTATAAGCAAAAGTTAACGTATGATTTTTTTTTTTGTCATGTAGTTGCCACGCCAAAAAAATAAATTATATTCGATTAAAGAAAGAGGAATGTTTTAAAGTTTTTTCGACGTAAAGAAATTTTTTCTCAGTTAAAATTATGTAATAACCTTTTCTATGGAAATGTTGGGAGCTGAGTTCACTCACAGGGCGACAATTGAACCGATAGGTATATCGGCAAAAATGGGTGAACAAAAGTTCAAATTGCTGTCACATCCAACGTGTTTTCCATATCTCGCTTGTACATCCCAAAAAATATTCCAGCACAAAGATTTGATTCACATTGTAAGATTTTTTGGAAGTGGAGCGCATTTCAAGGATCTCTTCAAGTCATTCTGCAGAAAATGTATCGAAATATTAGAGAAGCGTTTAACTAATTGTATCACTTGAAAGAAATTAAATTGGTGAGTAAAATCGAATTTAAAAAAAAAAAATTCTGTTTACTTATTTCTGGAAATTATTAACCAATGCCAAAAGTTCTCTCATTAAGAGTAATACTGTTTAAAATTCGGAAAACAACGACTCGACTTATCACAGTAAATAATTCAATTTTTTTGAAGATTATATATTGTAATTATGTTCTGAATATCGTTCAAATGTTCACCAAGTCTTTGAACTGATTATTAATTACTCTGTCCAGCATTAATTGTGTTAGGCTGACAAGTATTGGCCTCCAAAAGCTGGTAGGCATAAATCTGGGCCCTGGATAAGGGATCTGCATACTAGGATATTAAGAAAAGACAACAATGGATTCCTATTGTTTCATCCAAATTGTACCTTAATGTGACGCTAGAACAATCTCGATCTTACATATATAAAAATACATATATATTTCCCTTATGCGTCGACTATATGTAAGGTTTGCTTCAATGACGTCGGCGAAAATATTAAAAGTACGAAGTTAGGCCAAAGGAAACAAGTATTTTCTTTTGTCCCTATCAATATTGAAAAGAAGACATGCATTATCTCAGAACTAGGGCTGAAATTTCTGCATATTATAAAAAGAACCCCAAGAACCTCTATTTTAATCAACTTTAGGAATATCAACACTAGAATTAAAATAGGATCGAAATAGGCGATTCTCCAAAACTTTTAAAATCTCTCGTTAACATGACAGAATAAGAGTAAAAAGTGATTCTTAATGAGTTGCGTCCACATTGCAAACCTTGTTTTAGCAATTATTTGCACATTAATATAATTGCACTCCATAGAAGGACAGGAATGTATAAATTTAGGCAAGACGGTTGCAAAGTCCAAATTCAAAACCGATGTGGACAAATCCGTCTGCCCTTTAGTTCGTCTATGTAATCTTTAGAGTAAATATCCCCCTTACGATATCGGCGTCAAATATGCAAATACATTGGAAATTCTTACAAACAGATTGGTATTAAAAACAGGCCAAATCAGTCAAACAGTACATAAAGATAAAAATTCCTGTCTACTGCAAGTTGTGCAAAAATGGAAATGTTTTATGAAGAAAAGAGTTTGAGCTTTGAAGACAAATGTGACTGGTATAATAGTTTCGGCTACAGCTGAATGTAATTTTGTTACTCGTTTTATTTACCCGACAGCTGATTTACAATGAATCCCGCCCTTTTGACGTTAATCAACAACGAAAGCAACAATAGTGATAAAATATATTTGCTCCCATTCCATTTCGATTTCGATTAAAAGCGCGGATTCACTTCAAGGCACAATAGTCGAAAGAAAAATAAAAAGTTTGCTTTAATTGCTAGAATGTCGTTTTACCTATTTCTTTGAATCGCCACTATAACGAAAATTTCGAAGTAGGATTTTTGGATTAAAATTTATTCTGCATAACGCTTTTTTCTTTAATTTTCAATTTAGGTCATACTATGCACAATCGCACAAAAAACAAAAAAACTGGTAGAAAAGAAAAACAGCGGAAAATGTGGCTTTGGGGGTTTTGTTTTTAAACGAATGGGCGGATGGGCGAAAAGCTGAAATATTAGATATTATGGATTCGAGTTAGTATATACCTATTTTCTTACGCCCATTCATAAATAATGAAAATTAAATAGCTACGCCTTTAATAAACGGTGTATTTGTTCCAGCACACTAAAATCCGTGGATGTTAAGTGAAGTTTATTAGACATCCCTAATAAGGACGAGAAGAGAATTTGGTAATAAATTGATTTTATCTGGGTTTATCTCATTTTCTTAAGACTGGGTTAAAGCAGTAAAATATAGTAAATTCCTACTCACGTTACGATTGGCAAATTAAAAGAACCAAAGTCTTCTAGTTTCTTTGGAACATTAACTTTCAGTCAAGCAAAGGCGGCATTGCATTTGGTATGAGGACTTACTGTGATTAAGATTAGGAAAGTTACTAAAGTTTATTGCAAAGAGTTAATAAAGAACTGGTCGGACTAAATTACTTAGCTTAATTATTAAGCTCCACTTTATATTTAAAAAATGCACACATTAAATGCATACTTTTTTTTGGTTTAATTTTATTCATTTTTTCAAGTGAAAAACGTCTTCTATCTGTATCTCGTGTCTGCTTCTACAGTTTGCCCGTTAGATCTTTCAAATGCTTAGCGGTTTTGGCTTTGCGAAATTTTTTTTAAGTGACCACGTAAGAGGAAATGTTGTATATTATAATTATTTAGTCCTTTTTTACCTAAACAATATAATTAAATGATTTATCAACGAAGTCTCTATAAATAATTGGTGCCTAGAGGGTTCCTATAAATATAAAACGCCTCAATCTTAGCGAGCCACCTTAGCTTCAAACTACCTGTAAAGGCTTCCTCTGTCATATATATATATTATTTTTTATATTTTTCTGAATTCAAAGTATTTACATATACGCGAAGACTAAGCTAATTACTTATGGACGGCAAACCATCGTAAAAAATTGCAAGTATTCCATTTTTAAAATGCAAATTCAATGTGCATCACATATGCTTGCATTGGAAGATTACCATCATGATCTTTGTTTTCCCGCAAATGTGTTAAATGTGAAACACTGCTCCCATACGTATACATTTTTTATTCAATCTGAATACTTTTAATAGTATTTAATGAAATTTTTATGAAATGTGAATATATTAACGATGCATATGCGAGAGGAATGTTCTCATGTGAATAGACTTTAATTTAACACATTCATCTGCAGGATATTTAAAAAACGTAAATAACGTGAAATTAAAACCAACGGCTTCGTCGCGGTATTCTTTCCATTTGTATTGCCAATAGCGCACCTCTTCCATAGTTTCTAACGGACAACGCATAAGTTAATATATTTAAGATATACGCCTTTTTAAGGCAAGGGCTAAGTTTCTTCTTATGATACCTTTTAAGCCCATATTAACTTTATATAAAGCGCCAGAAATTAAACCCGCTGGTAAGTACTCATACAGCGAAGATTTCCTTCTATATACCGAAATCATTGTTACAATGCCACTGAAATAGATATGTTTTGAAGTAGTCATTTCCATTGAATATCTTTCAAATTTACTTACCAATAGGAGGTTGCGAAGAGTGCTACTTGCCAACCCCATTTGAAGCCCCCTTTTGCGTTCCTTCTAAACGTCGCAAACGTGCTTGAATTTTCACAAATATTTAACGACACGAAATTGTGTGAGCAAGAGGAAGAGTTGAAAATGGTAGTTATTTGGCCTTAGAAAGAGCAACTGCAAACTCCATCGAATATTAATCTGAAAGTTGGAATCAAATAAGCTCAACATCAAAATGACTTTATGACCTCTACTAATACAGAAAACAACGCGATTTGGGTTAATTCACTCCGACACGACATAATATTTGATCAGTGGACATATCGTTGAATGAAATTAACCAAAGAAACTTATTGCGATGATGTGAAACAACGATATGGTGAAACAACCAAATTATTTAATGATTAGTAGTTTGCCTGGCATTTTGATAAACAAGGAAATTTGCGTTCATAATTTGGGTGATATCATAACAGCGCCCATTGCTCCCGGGCATTTTATGGTAGAACTATTACAAAGTTTGTTTTGAAAACAAAAAAGCTTACCACCTACTGATCTCATTGTGAACAAAGTTCAAGCTTTTATATCCGCAAGCAAGAAATATATAAACGAAATATTCGTAATGAAATCAAAGAAAGATCTCTTGATCTGTCGACGTTTGTGATGGATTATAATTTCATTTTGAGAAATTTTGAAAACTAAACATTACAAAGCAATACTTTGCTTATTGCATAACAATGCTGCCACTTTATGCTCACACATTTAGACTTTTCGCATACTACACGTGATCGCGCCGAAATAAATGTAACTTGGTTTAGAAGGTTTCGCAGTAGGCGTTGCTTTTGGGCTTTAATTTCAATGAAAGTTATGTTAAAAGTTATTTAGTGTGAGCACTGGTTCTGACGGCTTAAATGCGGCGACAGAAGACAGTGAAAGGAGACAAGAAACTTGAAGTTTGCATGACTCACGATCCGTGTGAGACGCACTTCCATCCTTATGACGACACCACAAAATAAATGAATTCATGCTGTGTCAACATGAGCGCAAAAATATTGTCCAACGATAGACTTGGGTAAATTTATTTTGATTCATGTCAGTTATGATCTTCAAACCACTTTTCTGTCTTTGTCTTTAACTTTTCTTGAAATGAAATAACAAGCCTTTGCGGTGAACACTTTACACTCCATTCCAAATCACAAAAGTCTTGTTATTGGTGCCAAGCAATACATGCAAAACGTTCTTACCATTTAAAGAACTACTTATCTGCTGCTTACCCAAAGCACACTTGTTATGTACTCTTGTGTAACGTCGAAGATTCAAAAAAATATTTTATAAAATTAGCCTACAATGGCATTAGATTACCAAAAGAAGAAATTATTGTTCGCTCTCTATCTAAAGTTTCTTCAAAATGGAAATTTCTCTGGTTGAAATCATTTCAGAAAATTTTCTTTAATAAAATTCCAACTCTTTAATACAATGTCACCTTCTCAGTGGTGAAACAATGGTGAAACAATATATAAACGCTTGAACAACTAAAAAAAAACAAAACGCCAAAGGTAACATATGTCACAAATATCATGTACGTGCAGTTGCAAAAAATCGCTGGGTGGCCAAAGTTTTCAAAATTGCAAGGCAACAACAACGGGTTAAAAATAGCATCCATTTCAAGAAAAAAAGCAGAAAAAACCAACAAAAAGCAAATGGAGGAAAAGCACTTGAGTTTACTTAAACGCTAGTAGAATAAAGTCGTTGACGCACAACGCGCTTGTAACACATATATGCTGTTGCTGATCTCCTTTTCGGTTTTTCTGCGAATAGTTACCTGCCTGTTTGCTTACGTGTACGTAATTAGCCCGATATTTACGTACATGGACACATGTGTACTTTCTTGAAGGCAAAAGCTCCCGTTTAAGGTAAGCCCGACGTAATGCGAAATAACAACAACAAGAACAATAACAATAAGAAAATATCAGAAAACTCTGATTCATTGCGAAGATTGAGGCAGGCACAACAGACAATGTCAACCAGTTTCTTGACAGTTAAATGCTGCGTCGTTTGTCAAGTAGTTGTAAGGTTACCACCATATCCGTTCATGAAGGACATTAATACTTACATAACAATTAACAATGGCATTGCCTTGTCATGCCAACGCCGTTATACGATAACTAAAAAAGTTCCATTTTTTGCTTAATTTCTGCAGATAAAACAGAAAAGAAAAAATATGTAGCATAAAATAGTGAAGAAGCATTTTAATTTAGCTACTTTTTTGATTGATAGCTGAGACAAAGTACAAAAAACATATTATGATGATAATAATGATAATGCAAACCTATTATATGTGTTAATGGAAAATATGGTTTTTAAATGAATGAAGAAATATAACGCTTAGAATGAATAGTCTTTATGAACTGTGTGGTCTCGTCTATTGTTTTAAAAAATAATTAAAAGAAACTTATGCTTGAATACTTTTACGATAGAAATGTAAAGCAACGGCCAGCTAAGTTTTATCATGAAAATTAAAACACTAGACTCTCTTCCTTTTTATATAAGCCGTTTTATTTTCAAAGTGAGCTAAGTCGATTTATTTTATTATGAAGACATTTGAGATATACACATTTATTAACATCCTATACAAAAATTTTTTTCTCTTGCATAAACTTATTTAAAATCTATTAACTGAAAATTAACGCATAAATACAATCATTAAATATTAGTTTAGAAAATCGATTTTAGCATCTGAAAATGAATGGCTCATATATTATGGTTTTTGCTTTGTTTGCTTTTCAATTAATTAGTTTGTTTTAATATAAAGACATGCTCCTCACCCAAGCTTCTACCTACGCTTGTAATGTATCTATTAATCTTCGTCATGACTTACCCTATTATTTAAATAAATTTATATGTAATTGGTTTCTAGCGTATAGTGATTGTTGCTTGAGCTAAAATCTTTTTTTTTTCTTTCATACTATTATACCACGAGAGTCCATATTTTATTATTGAATCTTTTCTTTTCCTTTCATACTACTTCTTAATATTTTTATTGCTCGATCATATAGCATATCTTGTTAAAAGCCGATAACGGTTTATTGCTTGTCACACTTCACATTTTGGTCTTTATTCATTGTCGCATTTTATGCTCCGTTAGGTTTTTGGCCTTTGTTTGATGTAAAAATATTCTTAAAATGATTCATAAAACTTAATGCTTTAAAATTTTAATTGTAAAGACTTATTGGGCATATCGCCATGATGATCGTTACGCTAAACAAATGAGAGGAGATGACCATTTCCCGTTAATTGTGCGCTGGTTACTTGATCCTTGGAACACGAATCCATGATGCATTTGCTGAAACATTTGTTTTCATTTGAAATGAATAGCTACCATAAAGAAGGGCAATCTATTATTTCTTTTTTTTGCTTATTGTACGACCAATCACTCAGAGGACGTCCCCTATGCATGCATAACACAGTGTAAGTTAAAAAGATGCAAAGAAATAGAAAGAGATAAAAACCGGCCGCAATCTAATAGATATGTGCCCAATAGGTAAGTGACTGAGCACTCGCTATAGGTACGAAAAAGTATGTTCAAAATTGTATGGAGGTTTAAATTCCCAAACATTGACTTGATACTTGCGACGCCAATAGAGTCGACTATGCGGCAATCTATACCTTTTCAACTTTTTTGGCCCTAATGTTCATATTTGCGACCGGCTGTTCCTGCTCCTTGGGGCTGACGTTTGGGAAAAGATAATATGGCTTACGTCATACGTCTCTGCATAAGAACAACCTCTGGAGATTTTTAATTGCTCTAAAATCATTGGGCCGACGTAGCAAGTGTTTGTATGAGATAGTAATAGAATTATTTTTCACTTTAAGAGCCCTCCAAACCAAACTGTAGTATAACTCCAACCCCTCGGTGATAAAAATATCCATGTATTGGGTGTGGGAATATGTTTCGGTCTTTTCCTAAGAATGCAAGCAATGCCTTAGATGTAGCTGAATAAAACCGTTAATTCTTCGTTTAAAAGATGCTATTTTCAAATAATAGTGCATAAGTCATCACACTCAAGCGTATATAATACAGTTTCTTGCAGCCTCGAATAGATTTTATTCCACGCCAATTGGCGTGGCTAACGTGTTGCCTGCTTAATTTAAAGAATATCAACATTTGCGTGCGATGGACAGTGGATACTTTGCGATATCCAAAGCAGGAACTATATCCAGGGGAACTATCAACATGAACATCGATGGAGGCCCCTTTTTTTTCAAAGTATTGTTGATCAGCAAAAAATGCTGAATCGATTTAAGGATGTCCATCTGTATAATGTCTGTTATAAACATTCTGCTGGCCGAAAAAATGAATTAATCGCCTTTAATTCTTGTACGCAGGTTAGCATTGAAGATGGTTTTCCAAAAACAATCTTTTGCTCATTACTCGCAAACTACAGCAGATAAATCTGTTAAGACTTGAGCACATATTTTATAAGTGTTGTTAAACATGGAAAAAATTGTCCCCGCCAATCAAAAGTTAATTTCTTTGTCAGAACTTTTTTAACCCAAAAGAGTGAACTTCAAAAAACCCGCAAAGTGCATACACATATTCTTGACCAGTCTCAAATTCGGAAAATATCCTAAGCATATTCTTTTGTTCGTCTGTCCACATGTCCATCTACTTAACTGCGTATTATCTACGGTAATCATTCCTCCGTTCGCAACAGTGAAAATATTGTCGTCAAGTTTGCAAAAGAACTTGGAAATGACCAAAACCGATCAAAGGACACGCCTGCGACGCCTACACCCTATGCAACAAACACCTTTGCCTTCCGCGTCGTTTGCTCGTTACTCATAAACTACAATAGGTACAGAGTTTAAATTTCAACTTTTATTTAAAAAATAGAAAAATCAGCCGCACCTACCCAATATTACAGAGTATAAAAATTTTGACTTTTTTTTTACCTTTTAGGAAAACGTTGATGGGTCTAAAAGATTCGAATACAAACGAATATAATTTTCTTACTTTTTAGTTTATTAGTTTAGAAAACATAGAAATTAAACTGCTAATCAAATAGTAATCAATCAATCAATAGCAACCATTCCTACCGAATTTTTGGAGAGATTTAAAGTTTTCCAATTTTCGCAAACTCTGACTGACACTATCGAATAACATCTTTTGTTGTTGTAGTATGCAGTACTGTTTGTAGTATACAGAAGTATGCATCTTGTTCAATGCAGCATTCTAACTTAATTTCAAAATATTACTTTGCTCTCCAATCAAACCAATGGCTCTTGCCAATTGAAACTCTTGCAATAAAATAAGGAAAGGGAACTTGGGTTCCAATGTTTTTGGTTTATGTGTACAAGTTAAGCTTGAAAATGAACGTAAACCTTCTATACAGACATTCATAGCAATTAGGTATTTGAAATAATGTAGATAATTGAAAACTTCAAAATGCTTTCATGAATTGCAACTAACGGCAATTATCGAGTTTGAAACTTTGCCGATGAATTAATTCCAAATGCTTGTGTGCACGAAAAAGCCTTCTGGGATTGTGGGTTCACGGGAGTTGTCGCGAGACAATATGTATTTTTAGCTAATTTATGATTCCAGGTACATATTTGAATAGCTTCGAAAGTAGTTGTTTTGAAAAACAAAAACACACTATTGCAAGCTTGAAGACGCCATTAATTTTTAAATATGTTTCATTTTCAATTATTAAAAATCTTTTTATATAAGATCAGTGACCTTGTTCGGCTTTCGCAGAAGAAGAAACTTTCAAACTTCAATTTATCTTGGCTGTCAAAAAACTACCCTTTCCTTGCAGTTGCCATCTCTTAAAAGAAATATAACATAAATTTTCTTTTATATGCCTTTAGCTACTTATAATACAGCACACTAATGCGGTCGGTCATACTCACACCCTTTTACCTTGAACAGATCGCCCTTCTTTTATAAGAGAAATTAATGTTTTATGTGAAATTGATATTACCACGAGTATATGATTAGCTATATATGACTGATGTATAAACTTGTTTCGATATGTTTCGTTTTACAGGAAAATAAGAAGCGAAGGTCTATAATACTATTTCATATTAATTGTTATGCATATAATAGTAATTTGTTTTGGTTTTCGAAAAATTTCAAAATATATTTAAACAAACTCGTTGGAGATAAACTGGTTTCAAATGAAATTACTCTAAATTCTATTCTTTTTTATTTCAGATTCCTTTGTAAACAGTCAAGAATGGACGATATCACGTTCTGTGCCTGATTTACGTTTGGGTATAGTTGGTTCATTGAACTCGGGTAAATCTGCATTAGTACATCGTTATCTAACCGGTTCCTATATGCAGGAAGAGTCGCCTGAAGGGGGACGTTTCAAAAAAGAAGTATTCATCGACGGCCAAAGTTATTTACTATTAATACGAGATGAAGGCGGCGCACCCGAAATGCAGGTTAGTGATTAATGAAATTCACTTCGTTGCTGATGAAATTAAGAAAATCATGTTGGAACTATTACATCATTTTATATTACTAACCAAACTTATCATACATTTTAAACGCTTGAGTGTAAGGCCTTCGTCTTGAATCATAATAAATTTTCGTCATTTCCTTAAAGTGGTAGTAAAATCGTACTTAATATTGGGCCTTGCTTTAAGCAATAAAATAATAGTAGCAACAAAAATGTATTATCGTTATTTTGCTAATCGCGCAACGCCTTTTTTTCTCCTACCGCGTTGCTAATGAGTCTGAAAAATACGTTCATATTTTTTTAACCTCTTTACTCTCACATATATAACATAAAATTTCTTATAATATGCCTTTATATTACTGCTTTTGTTTATTACAAGATTTCTTTCCTCTTTGCCTTGTCCTTCTATTTTCATTTTTCAGTTAAGTTTTTCGCACTATCAAGAAAATTTATAAACCATTTTTTTTTAGCGTTACCGAGCTCATTAGCATCTAGTGTCGGTTCCAAAGTATAGAGAAAAAAACCATTTATTTCCCTGAATTAAAATCCAAAATATATTCTGTACAAATACTACCCGGAAATTATGTCTTTTAAGCTGTGGCACTATAGTGGGCGAAACACGATGCCCAACATGCGGGCAGCTTTCTTGGGCCTAAATCAAATCTCCAAAAGATATGGGAGGCAAAAAGATGGGGTCTAATCATGGGGTCATTGCAGAGAATGGACATAGTCCAGACAAGTGTTAAGCTGACAGCATTGGTCTTGAGAGTAACCGTATTGACAAACAAATTTAAAGAAAAAATGTCTTATTTCTTGCTTAGGTTTGCAACTTTTTTGTTCTCTTTTTTTCTTCATAAGCTTCTTCTGTCGTATTTCACTGAACAAGGATTGTTTATTTATACCATGTCGTGCGAAAACAGGCCCAGAATCTGAACGATTCATCTCGTTCATCTCTCTGCGAACGTTTTTGCAATGCAAACTGTACTGGTTTTAATGGCCATGCTGCAGATGCAGTCCTGGATCCATCAAAAGAATATACGATGCTCATGTCCTGATTGTAGGAAGCGGGATATTGCCTAAATTTAAAAAATTCGTTCTACTTTGCTAAATGCAGTAAGCACTGAGTTTTCCCATAATTTCCATAAGTCGTTTCAGGTTTTCAGAAAAGATCGATTGTATCGCAATGGTGGTGGTGTTTTAATTGCCATATCTGCGGCTGTCCCCACCAATTGAATTTTCCACTATTCCTAATAAGCAGTTATATGTAACCTGCTCCTATATTTCCTCTAATTCGGATATCTGCATACATAAGAAGCCAGCCGCCCTCTTTTGTGAAGTGTCCAAAGTGTTATAGTCATAGCATTGGGTGCCTTAAATTTGCCTCAAGTCACTTGGTGTTACAGTGATAGTTCTGGCTGTTTGATTCCTAGTGCAACGTCTGATAGGGTTGTTGTGTTCTTTAATGAATTGTTTAATCATAATTTGGTTCAATATAACAGTACCCCTAATTGTAATGGTAGACTGCTTGAACTCTGCTTTGTCAATTTTCCTGAAATTAACGTAAATCGTTGTTTATCTTTCAGTTTACCTGAGGATCTTTATCATCCAGCAATGCGGTTTTCCTTTCATTCCAAGCATGATGATTCGTTCAACTTCTCTAACATCTCTAACAACTTCTTCAAATACTTATTATGATTTCCATAAAATCAACATTTCTATGCTAAAATTACATCTTTCACATATTATGCTTGATTTCTCAGCTGGAAGTATTGAAAGTTTACTGTCATCTGTCATATTCTACAATATATTAAATCTAGGTATTTCCGTGTACGTTCCGATCAAACAGTGTCGACCTCGAAGCAGGTATCCCCCGTGGTTTAAGTGGCTCTGCTCTCGACTATTTCGCTTACTCAGCGGCAAGGCATAGATTTAATTCCCTCAACCACCAACATTATTGCAAATACCTTCAGTTCATTAAATCCTCTCTGTTTACTAATTCTAAATGCTTTTTTAAATTTGTTAACTCCAAAAGAAAAATCTCCATAAATCCCTCGCATGTTTCTCTTACCGGCTCTGAGTCTTCGGATGGTATTTATTTATTTATTTATTTTAATTCTACTTATACATGAAACTCAACTAAACAAATAACGGTCGAGTTCAATTGGCACTTAAAGCAAAATTTTTATTAATTAATATTAAAATTTAAAATAAGTACAATAAAACAAATAAGAAGTAAAAAAAGAAAAAAAAGAATATACACAACCAGCATAGAGCCACACTTACAACCGGTACAGGACCAAATTGCAAATGAACCCCTAAGACATCGCAAACATGCGTAAGCTTGGCAACCGATAATAGTTAACAACAATTCATTTTCGAACCGTAACGACTTTTTAAGGTTAAAAGTTTAAGCACAACTTAGGTAAATCGCACATACTAAGCAATGTTGCTTTAATGGACTTTAAGGAGTCCGATAATGAGAATAAGTGATAGATGTCATTTAGGTTCGTGCAAACAACTCTGAGCGGATTAAACAGCTCATAATTATATGTACGCTGACTAAGCTTAACTAAGATAAAGTGCCTAGAGAAGCGGTTAGGGACATTAAAGCTTATTTCACCAAGTAATGAAGGCGTGTCAATAGCATCATTTATTACTTTGATTACAAAGGAAACGCCAAAAACAAACCTACGTTTCTCAAGAGACGGTACGGACAGCAGAAGCAACCTATTTTCATAGGGAGGAAAGGAGGCAATAGATTTAGTTTTAAAAGATTCAAAGAGCACCATGCAACAAAGATATCCAAGTCACCTTGAAGCTGACGTGATTGCGATTCAACAGAAAAGGAAGAAAACAGTTTCACATCATCAGCATACATTAAGATCTGGCTGGAATTAACCACCGATGGAAGTACGTTAATTCATAAACTAAATAAAATGGGACCTAAGTGACTACCTCGAGGTAAGCCGGACATAACGGGGAATTCATCCGAGGAGATGAAGTTAAACAAAACCCTGAAGGATCTATTGTGCAGATAAGAGCTTATCCATTTCACTAAATAGAAAGGGAAGCTAGATTCTTGGAGTTTAAAAATAAGTAAGTTATGGTTAACCATATCAAACGCTTTCCTTAAATCAGTGCATATAATATCTGTGCGAGAGCCACTAGAAAAAGCCTTGCAAACCTGACAAGTAAACTCTAACAAGTTGATGACTGTAGATCGCCCTTTCCGAAAGCCATACTGGTGCGGAGAAATATACGAATTAATGGCAAAGGCCAAATGCTGATTCACAATTTGCTTGAACAACTTGGGTAAGACACTCAACTTGGCTATGCCTCTGTAGTTCTCAACAAATTGTATACTTCCACTTTTGTGGATAGGAATAAGGAAACTACTCTTCCAACACGAAGGGGAAACACCTAAATTCAAGGACAGTTTAGAAATCTTTGAGATCACGCCACATAACTCGACAGAGCAATATTTAAGTACACTTGATGGAATTCCATCAGGTCCAGGCGCACAACTATATTTTAAAAACGTCATCTTCCGAAATAACCAAGTTAGGTATTGGAACCGAGTTAGTTATAAGATGTGGGTAAATTGCTGATAAATCGAAATTAGCAATCGAAAAGTTTCGTCGGAAATACTAAGCAAACAGATTTGAGATTTCAAAATCATCCGAGGAATCAGAGCCATTAAAAAAAACATGAGAGGGATATGTGGAAATTTTTCTTTTAGAGTTAACAAATATAAAAAAGTATTTAGGATTAATAAACAGAGGAGATTTAATGAACCGAAGGTACCTGCAGTAATAATGGTTGTTGAGGGAGTTAAATCTATGCCTCGCCACCGAGTAAGCGAAATAGTCGAGCGCAGAGCCACTTTTCGAATATTTTTTGGGTAGCGTGTTTTTTCTATTCTTGTATTGTTTAATTGTCTTATTAAACCACGGGGGATACCTGCTTCGAGGTCGGGACTGTTTGATCGGAACGGATACCCAAGTCTAGACCGCTTGGCCACTTCACAAATGAAGGTAGCCTGTTTCTTGTAAATGGAGATATCGGAATTTGGCGGAATATAGGAGCAGGTTACAAATAGCTGTTTATTAGGCATTATCGCACGAATGGCGATAAATTCAACGTCAAGAGAAGTGGGAAATTCTATTGAATTGGACGGGACTGACGCAGATATGGCAATTAACACACCACCACCAATGCGATTCACTCGATCATTTCTAAAGACATGGAAAGAATTGTGAAAAAGTTCCGACGAATAAAGATCGAATTTTAGCCAAGTTTCAGTGAAGGCCAAACAGAAAAACTCAAATTTTTGAATTTAGGCCCCTAAGATTTTGATAAATGAAAGATAATGGGCCTGAAGAAACATTTAGTTTTTTGAAGGCGACAAGACTGTTGCTTTGGTATTACGGGGACGATCTCGAGGGATAGATTCTTTAATCAAGGATCCTACTGGCCACAGTGGTTTGTTTAACAACATATCACTGTTTTCAGTCGGAACTAGTATTTTAAAAGAGGAGATTGCCCTAGATAGAGAAGGAGCCATTTTGAAAATGCTAACGCGCTTTAAGTTGACTGATGGGACTTTCGCCGCCAGATAACTTTTTATGTTATCCACCGATGTTTCAGGTGCCAGTCTTGACACAAATATTGCTTTTCTGGGAGGAACTGCCATCAAGCAAATGTCATTACTAGGAACAGGAGGGTTCACCAGCAGCTTGTGCGACTTGCCCAGTCTGGTGACCGGCGTCCACGTTCGAACAGCCAGGGGGAGAGGATGATTTATTTTTCTCTTTATTATTTTTAGGCGATGGCGCTTGATTAGAGTGAATGGCGGCTCTTGGCGGAGATACCCTTGCTACTTCAGCGTAGCTTAAAACAGAAGGATATGACGGCTTGTTTGTAACTATTTTGTTACCGACCGACCCAACAATAACGGAAACATTAACGTTCATTTTAAAGTTA